TCGATCTCCAAAAGTCTTGGGGGTTTGGTCGGTTCGTCCAAGAAAGATGAGATCTCTGCTCCATAGACAAAATCGTCTAGAAAGGGTGGACAATTARGAAGAGCAGCGGGTGYTGTARCGAAACTGATTGCAAAAGAAGGGAAATTCATACGAAGATTAGCACGGTTAATGATATCAACTAAAGGGAAGAAAACCAAAGCGTATGTAAATTTTGGTATCAAATAATTTCGATTGTCGTCCTTATGGTTTAGAAATTGTGATTTTTGTCTGTATGGTTTGCAATTTATTTCTATTTYCATCCCTRRACTAATTCCTASTTTTTGTCCAGGACTCATGGTTTTAAAACAYGTATCATAGAAGAGGTATCTAGTCCCTTGTAAGTAAACCTTAGTTCTCTCTCTCACTGATGTGAGATCTTACAATCCATCCCCTTTGGGACCCCCGTGTCCTCGCTGACACAACAGTCTAGAACCTGACTCTAATACCATCCGTAACATCCCATAAAAACAGTACCAGATATTGTTCATTTTATTCACACATGAACTCACGGTTTTAAAATGCATCTAATAAAAGAGGTATCAATTCCCTTATAAGACAATCTTAGTTCTACATTCAAATCGATATGGGATCTTACAAGTTTCCCGTTTTGAAAGTAAATATTTATTTTYCCATTTTACCCTTAAATATAAAACGGAGAAAATTTATCCCTCTATTATTAAAGGCAGAATTGTACTTTAGCTATTTAAAAAATGTAACAGTTACATATTTAYAAAATTATATATTATTTTTAYAGTAGACATTTATTTTTGAACAATTTCCAGTTATAGATAGGCCCAAATCACATATACAAAAAACCTTGATTGGGCCTAGTGGGCTTAATATGGGCCTAAACAAACCTCAATTTTATTTGTTAAATCATTTAACCAATATATAAATATTTTGTGTGTGTGTGTGTGTGTGTGTTTTATTTAATCATTCAACAATGTTAATTGCTTATTCTAAGGGGTTGTTTATCAAATACTAACCCCGTAAGCGCTTATCGGTAAAAATTTAACACTATCACTTATTTATCGGGTAAAATTTTAGTCCATCAAAACGATATCGTATGCAACAATTCACCTGGTAACGCTTACCGTGGTAAGAGTCATCGTCCTCACTTACCGGGTAAGACTCTTGGTCTTTGTCTCGCTCTTACCGAGTAAGATTCTTGGTACTTACCATATTCATCCAGTAAGGTAATGAGACTTGGTATTCACTTACCCGAGTAAACGTTTGGTAAACGACCCCTAAGTTTGAACTCGATTCGGTAGTTCGACAAGTATTCTTTTAAGGTTCAAATGCATGAAGAATCAATCTACTTTTATAAATATCTTTATTATAGTATTATACTTTGATTTTCTCTTGTTAAAATAATGTACTTTTAAATTATTTTTTATAAGTGCATTGTACTTTGAAAATCTACTCATTATAGCAATAAGTAACTTGTTACACCTTAAACCATTAACCAGGGGTGTATAGAAAGTCATCTGATTCAGTTTAAAAGGGACGATGCAATTAGAATCGACCAACTATAATTAGATATCTAATTGTGATTGGATCTGATCGGATCCAAAATTTCAAAATTCAAATCGGATCGGTTGGTTCTTGGATGACAGTCCAACATCCAATATAAACGAATCGATCCAATCCAATCCAATCCAATGATCATCCAATTCCCCATCCAATTAATAACTATATATAATCATTAACATTTTACGATATTGTTTTTTAGTTTATATTTTTATATATTATTTTTTTAATAACTCAAGAAAATATATGAATAACTGGTTAAAATTGTGGATTAATTGGTTGAATATTGGATCAAAAGATTGGAYAAATCCAACACGATCCAAATGATAACCAATATTAAAATCCAATGGATGGAACCGATCAAATCCAATCATTCATTGGATTTAGATTGGATCAGACCGAATGACAAAATCCAAAATGATTGGATCTCAACCGATGAACACCCCTACGATTAACCTCTTACTTTTTTTTCTTACTTGCTTTGCTTAAATTAAATTATGTGGATAACACATCGTTTTGATGACATTGCCTAAATAAAAAAATCTCTTCCAGATTATTTTTCTCACTTTTTGTTTCGACGAATTAGAAAAAAACATTTCAAACTTTTTAATATATTCTTATTGAATTGTATGCAAATTAAATATTTTACAGTAAAATATTTCTTAGATAGATATGATATATTATTTTTGAATAAAAACTTTTGTTTGTAAAAAAAGGTAACATTTCTTCTTTTATTTTGTTCATAAAAATAGAAGTATATTTTAACTCTTTTTTTTAACTAACTTGGATATCTAACACGTTATGCGAGCCGACTAATYYTAGGTCGACCRCTTGCTTTRCRGGTAGTCCAKAGTCARYGCATTTGAACCTCTGTGGCTACAAGAGRATTTTTATTCYTCCYTGAATTTGAAYCTGATATCTCCAGACATTTTTGACCTTTGCAAATCAAGCTCAAATTAATCAATACTAACGAGATAAATTGTGCTCTACAAGTTTTCTTAATATTRTTATATTAATGAAAAAATTCATAAAATATYCAATTAATTTAATAAATTTATGTCATGTAAAAAGATTAAACAAATGTATTATATTTTTTAAGAGAAAAATATTTTTTTTGTAAAAAAACGTAATAATTATTATTTTTCTTGTTCAAAAAATACATATTTTTTAAAAATGTTAGCGAAATAGATTGTGTTTTACTAGTCTTCTTAATACTGGTATAATTATGAATGACTTAGAAATTTTCTAATTCATTAAATATTTTTATAAAATAATATGTAAAATCATTTTTTTTTTCAAATTATAATGTTGTAATAAGAAATGTCACGTCAGCAAAATTTTACATGTTGTCATTTCATGTGGACAATGACATGTCATAGAAATATGGTAATTTGTGTCATGTCATCTTAATTCGAATTTAAAGGTTACCTCTTATAATGAATCATTTTTCGAAGTWCGATACACTAATAAAAAATAATTTAAAATTACATTGTTGTAATAARAAAAATGAAAATACAATGCTATAATTAWGAACTTTGTGAAAAWAKGTTGTTATTTCGTACATTTAACCCTTCTATTAATCTAKACTCGAGCTCGATTCAAAAGCTCGGATATCTTAAAAAAATTCATAACAACTGTTTTTGATAAAAATAGCCAAAAATCAATCTGGGTAGGTTCCAAGTCGGTTCTTTCAAAACTTGGTGGGTCAGTCTCGATCCAGACCAAAAATTCTAGGAGTGGTTCTAGGCCACTAATTGTTCCAATAGCATCGGGMCTGTCCCAAATCCGGTCTCGACCCGACCCTATTTTTTAAATTTTTTTTTTTCAAAACTACATGTTATACATGTTTTTATAATTACGATTTTTGAAATGAGTTAGATAAAAACAGTCAGGCGTGCCGAGACCAGATTTTTGAAACGGCTGACCATAAAATACACACTAAAACTTTGACCATACATAGGGACGAATCTATTAGGAATTGAGTGGCTCCTGTGCATTCATTCATTCGATTATTGTAAGAGAAAAATAATTTTGCTGTCTGAAAGGCGTATCCAGTTGATTTTAAGGTTTTTCTCTTAACGACTTTGAAACGATACTATAATATAAACTAAATACGGTTWGGATGGTTGGATTACTGGTTTCTATAGAAGAAGTCACGGGTTTTGAATTTTTTAGGTGGATGTTTACTTTTTTGTCTGTTACTTTTAGACTTTACTCATACCWTACAGTGTTATTTCTGTTTAAAATCAATAGGAAAAATATAGTTAGAAGAATTTAACGCATAACGTCAATTATAACTGTATGCATTATTACCACCATATCAAGACAACTATTTTTTTTTGAAGTATATAATATTTATATACGGCAAATGCAACTAATAAACCCACACATCATCCTCACATTTGGTGATGTTTGAACCTCTGACCTTCTAGGAGGCCAAAGATTACGATACCACTAGGTCAAGACAACTCTTTGTTAAATAGTTCTTGCATTTTGATTTTCTTTTTCATAATTTTTTTTCTTTTTCAGCATCAATTCATCTTAAAAATTGTCGTTTTTTAAATAATTTTTTTTGAAGTATATAATATTTATATACGACAAATGTAACAAATAAACCCACACACACTCTCCTTACATTTGGTGAGATTTGAACATTTGACCTCATAAGAAGCCAAATATTACGATACCGTTAGACCAAAGGCTATTTGATAACCCCAAACGAAACGAATGTGAACATGTGGCCTAAAATATGGCTTCGTTTTATGGTTACGTTGTCAAAGTTGCATCTTGTTCCACTTTATCCTTTGTGTTGTCGGCTTTACATTAAAAATTCTTATTCGTTTAATTTTTATTTTGAATAAAATTATGGCGTCTAAAATATTTTATTTTAAAAATATTAATTATTCTAAAACTGAAAATAAGTTAAGTATAAGCATGTTGGGTTGGGTTCATGAGACTAATCTGTTTTTGTGAGATCCGTGAGACTATTTTTTTACACTTGAAACTTCACAGCAAAACGTTGTGAAGGTAAAAAAAAACTGAACCTCCACAGCAAATACGTTGTGAAGTTCCAAGTATAAAAAAGTCTTATGGGTCTTATGAAAACAGGTTGGTCTCATGTAGTCCCAAGTTTAAGCATGTTTGTACAATTGGAGTGTAATGATCACGTGTTCAAAATAAATTGAAGTTACTAATATAAAATAAGGATTTGTAACATACTTTAATTTGATTTCTATTTTGGGTAACGTACTTTTAAAACTTTCATTTTGGTACCTAAGATGTAAATTTTTTAATATTTAAGTACTAGGGTAACCGGTTGAAGTGTAAAAAAATGGTCTCACGAAAACAGGCTGGTATCAAGTGAACCCAACCCTATTAACCAAGCTTTCATATGCTTAGAATGTAAATCAAACCTCTATAATACAGATATAAGTATAAAGTATCACATAATATATCAATCAAAACCATAATATACTTAAAAATACAATACGTTTTATCTCCTATACATCAGTATTTTTTTAAATCAAACTAATAAAAAACATACAACATTTTCTAAGCTCGTATACTAAATCAACTCTTAGTTTTAACTTTTACTAAACCAAACAAGCCGAACAAACACAAAAAAGAAACAAAAACCGGTCTTCAATCTTCAAACATACCCATAAACTGTAAATCAAAAATAAAAGACCACAGAGAGGACGATGGCACAAATACTGATATTTGACATGAAAGCAGGTGGTTTTGCAAGCATCGAGATTGCTTTGCTGYTCTTGGTAGTGGGAGGACGATCGTTCTGGCCACCATATGAACCTTTCCCCTTACTTGCCTTCGACAAAACCAAATCATCTCGTTTCAAACCGTCTTTTCCACTGTAGCTGTCTCCATTCAAACCAACCTTCCCTTTATCTTCTGCAGGGTTTACAAACGAAATACGAAATGGGTATTGTCTCAAAAACCGTTACGAACTACATGATACTGAAAAACCGAACAGAGTTTAAAAGAAAGAGAAGAACTTACCTATAGATTCAAGAGCCAATGTAGATAGAATGCATTGAGCACATAAGAGAATGAAGAAGAATACAAGCATTTGGGACCTCATTGAGCTAATGGATGCTTGTTGATGGCATTTGTGATACTTTACAAGTTGGTATTTATAYGAGTGGTTGTGAGTTGTGAACACATGAGGATTTGTTCCATTGAAAAATGGGCATCAAATAAAGTTGAATGAGAAAAAAACAAGAGAATAATTAACCCTTTTTTTAATATCATGCACATGGGTCAATAGTTTTTTGAAAGAGTGAACAAGAAAACTCTTTAAAGAATTAATAGTTCAATTTTTAAACATGTGGGATGAGACAGGGCCAAAAACTGGTTTTGTGTCTGGTTTAAATTGGTTCTGAGTTGAAACAGTAATAATTTGGATTGGAATTGGGACGTTGAATATACTATGGTTCGGTTAAGGGTACTTGTAACCGGTATTGGTTTCGGGTTGGGCCCAAACCAGTCTTGTATTAAAAATAAACTTTTTTTTAAAAATTTATTTTTGATAATTTTTTTAAATATTTTAATGTTATTTTAATYTATACTATATTATAAAGCATTTGACAAAAACTTTTAAAAACCATTTTTTATGCATGAAGTACTATTTATTAATGCATATTACTTAAAATTCAAGACTACAAGTAAATTGTG